CAAGAGGGACATGTTTATAGGCTGCCGCATGGTAAACGGTTTGTACGGCATATTGATGCAATACACGTTCTAATTTGGTTTGATGTGTCACAGTGCCTAAAATCGGAATTATTCGCACACCTGAGTTCTGCAATTCGCGGTCAATGGAATACAGTGCAAATTCAGACATTTCAAATAAAACCAGACATGTCGGCTGATGCTTCACAATCTGACGGCAAAGCTCTGAACCAATCGATCCACCTGCACCCGTCACCATAACCACTTTATCTTGAATATTCTTTTCTAAAAGGTCTAACTTTGGTGGTACTGGATCACGCCCAAGTAAGTCAATAATATCAACTTCTCTAATGTCTGAAACCTGAACGCGACCGCCTACCAGTTGGGTGACACCAGGTAGTTCCATGATTTTGACATTTGAAGGTTCAAAAGACTCAATAATTGCTTTTTTACGTGCACGACTCGCTGATGGCATGGCCAATAAAATTTCTTCGATGTGAAATTTACGAAATGCTGTAAGCGCCTTTTTCGGCGAAAAGATTTTTAAGCCACTTAAAGACTGTCCTTGCAACGAGGTTTTATCATCAATAAAGCAGACAGGCAAATAGTCATCGGAGCGATACAATGCAGCGGCAATTTGTTGTCCCGCAAGTCCCGCACCATAAATCGCGACACGTTTACGATTTTGCTTTTTCACAAAAGTACGCAGGGTGGCGTAGCGAATCACAGCGCGACTCCACCACATCCAAGAAAACAGTACAAAGCCGTACATGAGTGGAATACTCATGGGAATAAAAGCTAAACCGAGTTTCTTTACCGCATACAACCCAACAATTTGAATAAATGTCGCAATCGAAATCCGTAGCAAATAGTCTTCATTGAAGGAGCGTACAATCGCGCTATAGATGCCGAGTAAGGCAAAAATCGCGACACCAAATACCCCAACATAGAGATACCAAAAGTCTAAGCCTTCCATCACTGGAACATTTGGTTTGGCTAATCGAATGGCATAAACCAACCACATCATCAAAGGCAGGACACAGATATCCATGACCACTAAAACAATTTGTTTTTGGCGGCGCGGCAAAGATGCAATAACTCGGATAATGTCTTTCACGATGGGCTCAACGGTTTAGATGAAGGCAAAAAATTGCATAGCAAATTATACGCTTTTTTACACTGGAATTTGCGAGATAACCTGCTGAATGCTCTCTACCGTTTTTTGCATGTTGCTTTCAGACAAAGTCGGATGCACCAAGAACATTAAACTGCTTTCGCCTAAACTTTTAGCATTAACTAAACGCTGTTCTGGTCGCCATGGCGTTCCATCAAAGGCCTTTTCTAAATAAACTTCTGAGCATGAGCCACTAAAACATGGCACACCAAGCGCATTAATTTCCGCCATAATGCGATCACGCGACCAGCCTTCTGGCAGCTGTGCTGTATTCACTTGTACATAAGCTTTATATGCCGCATGGACATAATATTCAGGTGGCTTTGCCACAGTAAAATAGGGATGATTTTCAAAACTTGCTAAAATGCGATGCATATGAGCATTACGCACTTGCGTCCATTCTGGCATTTTTTGGAGTTGTAAGCGTCCGATGACAGCCTGCATTTCCATCATGCGCCAGTTGGTGCCAAAGCTGTCATGTAACCAACGAAAGCCGGGCGGGTGCTGTTTGTTATAAATGCTGTCAAAGTTTTTACCGTGATCTTTATATGACCACATTTTTTTCCATAAATTTTTATCATTGGTGGTGACCATACCGCCTTCACCACCCGTAGTCATGATCTTGTCTTGGCAAAATGACCATGCGCCAATATGCCCAATTGAACCTGCGGATTGACCTTTATAGAATGCACCATGGGCTTGGGCACAATCTTCGATGACCCAAATCCCTTTTTCCTCAGCCAACTGCATGATCGGATCCATATCACACATCCAACCTGCCAAATGCACACAAATAATGGCTTTGGTATTCGGAGTAAGCACAGCTTCAATGGTACGGCGTGAAATATTCTGTGAATCGAGTTCAACATCGGCAAAAATAGGATTAGCCCCTGCTGTCACAATTGAACTTGCTGAGGCCAAAAATGTCCGTGAAGTGACAATCACATCATCGCCCGCGCCAACGCCAAGCGCTTTTAAGGCCAAATCAAGCGCAACTGTACCATTGGCTACGGCCACGGCATATTGGGTCTGTGCAAATTGTGCAAATTCTTTTTCAAACTCACGACACTCTTGTCCTGTCCAATAATTGACTTTATTGGATAAAAGAACCTTTGACACCGCATCTGCTTCAGCAGGGGTAAAACTTGGCCACGGTTCAAATGCAGTGTTTAACATGAGTTTTTCCTAAATGAATTATTTACTGGTCAGAATACGGGCTGGGTTTCCCACCACCGTCACACCTGCAGGTACACTTTTGGTCACGACAGCGCCCATACCCACCACAGCACCACGACCAATCACCAAAGGCTGTGCGGGCGTACCTTGTTTAATCACGGCGCCTGCACCAATATAAACATGGTCTTCAATATGAATATTACCGTTGCATTTTACGCCCGGTGCAAACGTGACGAAATCTCCAATCACACAATCATGCTCAACATAACTGTATAAATTGGCATGAAAACATTTACCAATTTTAATATTGGACGTAATTGTCACAAAAGGGCTCAACGCATAACCTGCGGCAAGCTCCACCTCATCCATCAGCAGCGTATTATCCGCCTGCACAGACCACAATGAAATATCGTCTTGCTCAAGTTTCAGCGCAATTTTTTCACGTACTTGGCTATTGGCAATCGCAATCAGTACCGCTTTGAAAGGTACAGGCTCCGCTTTAAATTGTTGGTAGTTCATGGCGCGATGACCATTCACTATAGCGCTTTCGTTCAAGGCATCATCAATGAAGACAATTTCAGCGGGCTCTTGCTGACGTGCTAATTGTTGACGAGCTACAGACATTAGGCTCCGCCCGCAACCAGAAATACCATATATTGCATAAAGCTTAGTCATGTTTAGTGCCTGTGAATTTATGCATAGTGACGTCACCTTCTGCACTAATATCATCTTTTGCGAGCACTTTTTTAACAGTTTTCAACATGATCTTAAAGTCGAGCCAGAAGGATTGATTATTGACATACCATGTGTCGAGTTCAAACTTCTTTTCCCATGAGATGGCATTACGTCCATTCACCTGCGCATAACCCGTGATGCCGGGACGTACCTCATGGCGTTTGGCTTGCTCGCTATTATATAAAGGCAAATATTCCATCAATAATGGACGTGGTCCTACGATACTCATATCACCTTTAATGACATTCCATAGCTCTGGCATTTCGTCCAAACTGGTGGCACGTAGCATTTTACCAAAAGGCGTTAAACGCTCACTATCGGGTAAGGGATGTCCTGCCGCATCCATCGCATCTTTCATGCTACGAAACTTAATCATTTCAAAAGGCTGCCCATGAAGACCTGGGCGGGTTTGGCGAAAAAGTACGGGAGAACCTAGATTCTTTTTCACTTTATATGCCACCAATGCATAGACTGGAGATAACAGCACCAAGGCTGTTGAAGCGATCGCGACATCTAAAATTCGTTTCAGCATGCTTAAACTCCCATCTCGGACATCATGTGGGCATTCACTTGATGGACATCATATTTCTCTAAAGCGATTTCACGCGAACGCTGTCCCATCTGTACCATCAGTTGAGGGTCATCAATAAAAGTTTGCATGGCTTGCACTAACTCTTCAACCGACTTCACTGGCACCAAATACCCGTTCTGACCATGGATTACCGTTTCACGGCAACCTGGCGCATCGGTGGTGATAATGGCACGCCCCATCGCCATCGCCTCAAGTACGGTGCGAGGTGTACCCTCGCGATAAGAAGGCAGCACATAGACTGAGCTTGCTGCAATTGCAGGGCGCACATCACTGAGTTTACCCCAATAATTGACGACTTTCTCTGCCACCCAAGTATCTAGTTCGGCTTGCGCAATTGCAGCAGGATTTTCATCCACCCAGCCGACCAAATGAAACTCAACTTCTGGATGTTCTACTTTGATGATGCGAGCCGCTTCTGCATATTCACGCACACCCTTATCCCCCAGTAAACGAGCAATGAGCAAGAAAGAAGCTTTCACTTGGCCTTGTTCATTTTTCGGCAAATCCAGCACCGCAAAATCCTGCACATTTACTCCAGAACCATTCACCACCACCGTCGGTTTTTGAGGTGATACGAGTTGCATGCTTTGAAATAATTTTAAATCGTCTGGATTTTGAAAAAAGACTTTATGGGCATATTTGAGTGCTTGTGCATATAGACTATGCACCATTTTTTGAAAAATACTGCGTTTACCCGATTCCGCATTTTGAAAGGCATAACCCAAACCCGTAATCAATGCAAAACGATGGGGCACTTTTGCCAACATTGCAGCCAATGTGCCATAAATCACGGGCTTAATGGTATAAGACAACACATAATCAGGTTGAATTTGGCGAATCAGCTGATACATCGCTTTTAAAGTTTTGAGATCTTGAATTGGGTTGGTTCCTGTACGTTGCATGGGCACCGTATGCACCTGATAACCCAATTGCTGCAATTGATTCAGTTCATCAGGATAGTCTTGTAAGTCGGGCGCTAGGACATGTATTTCTAAACCCTGAGCATGAATCGCCTCTAACAATTTACCGCGAAAGTTCAGTACAGACGGCAGATAACTACTGATCATCAAAAATTTCATCACCCTTGTCTCCATACCGTCATGTATTGCTGGCTAACGTGCTGAATACTAAAGTTCTGCTCTACCCGCGCCCGTGTTTGTTGCTTTAAACTGTACTTTTCCGCCTGTGCCAATTCTACATATTCTAAAATAGCCGCTTTCAATGCTACTACATCTCGTGGCGCAACCACCCACCCCATATCTTCTACAATATACCTAGCATCCCCAACATCCGTCGTAATGCAGGGTAAACCTGATGCCATGGCTTCGACCAAGACATTGGGAAAACCTTCCGTAATCGAAGTCATCAAAAAAGCATCGATGGATTGATAAAAAGTAGGCATATCCGAGACTTGATCTAATAGTTGTACTTTTTGTGGATCTAACTGATGCTCAGCAAAGGCTTGTTTGATTTCAGGGGTGTCTAAATTGGCACCACTCCCCGCAATTTTAAAAATAATCGGCTGATCTTTAAGTTCAGCAATTACTTGCAGCAAATACGGATAGCCTTTGGCCTTATGGTAGCGTCCAGCAAAACCAAGCGTTATAGGTTCATGCAATTGATCATTCAGTTGAAACTGATCTAAAGCAACACCATTGGCAATCACCTGCTGATTTGCATTTTTAAAACCAAACTCTTGATGTTGTTCAAGGGATGAATGCGCACAATACACAATGCCTTTCGGCTGCTGAGAGAAAAGTTTGCTGAGGTTTAATGCAACTTTGGTACTCAGTGACTCTTCTTTAGGTGACGCCAGTGAATGATGAACCCCCCAAAAAACAGGTGGTTTTTGTTGCATGCCCAACAGACTTAGACTGGTCATCGCATTGGCATGGTACATCCAACCTTGTACCACATTCGGTTGAATCTGTTGCAGTAGTGTTCTGAGTTTAAGCATGACACTAAAACTGTTTATACCCTTCCAATTTAAACTGTAGTGTGAAGAGCACAGCTTCAAGGTTTCGGCATAAACATTGGATACATGCATTAATGAGATAATAATGTGTTCATACTCTGCCTGCGTTTGCGCAACCAAACGGGACAGCATCATTTCAGCGCCACCCACACCTGCGAAGTTGGTAATCACATGTACAACCACAGGTTTGTTCATACTGCCAACCCCATCATCTGAGCATAGCGTTGCAATACCGTATCTTTATGGAACTGCTGACAGTGCTGTTCAAATTCAACCGCAGTATATTGCACACCGTCTGCACAAAGCGCTTGCTGCATAGCCTCTGCTAATGCAGGTGCATCATCGCAAGGCACCAATAAGCCGAATTTGGCATTATCCAAAATTTCCATCGGGCCACTTGGGCAATCGGTACTCACCACTTTAATTTTTGAAGCTAGCGCCTGAATCAGCACACCCGGCAAACCTTCCCAATTTGAACTCAGCACAAACAGTTCAGCATATTTAAAATAAGCATAAGGATTGGCATCAAAACCGGGTAAATCCACAACATCGTGTAGACCCAAGTCAGCACGTAAATGTTCCAGTTCCTGACGCAACTCACCTTCACCCAAAATGATCAAACGGGTATTGGGCTGCTGTTGATGTAACCTAGCAAAAGCACGGATTAAATTAGCAAAGTTCTTTGCTTCCGTTAAACGTCCAACCGCCATGATGACTTTAAGATTAGGCTCAAAAAAACGATGCGTTACAGGTGCTTGAAGTTTAGTAAAATAACTGTCATCAATCACAGGGTTGTAAATGGTGACTAAATTAGGCTGTTGATAGCCATAGTATTTGCGAAAATCCTCTAACACCCCATTGGATACACAAACCACGCGATCCGCCATGGGATAGCTATAGTTCACGAGGCTTTTCAAGACAAACTTGGAAAAACCTTGCAGTTTCATATTTTTCGAAGGTGTCGATACTTCACGGAAGATTAATTTAGTTTTGACTCTAGCCAGTTTCTTGGCAAAGGCGCAAATAATATTGCTATGGGTTTGGGTGGCAACGACTGCAACGTACTGCCCTGTTTTTAATTGTTGTTTCAGTGGCATCAAAGCATTCACCACTCGCCCACAGTTCAAATCAAGCAGTTGGATTTTAGTGCTGACCTCAGGACGTAATTTTCCCTTTTCACCCTGTATATTACAGACAGCCAAATCCACCTGAATACCTTGCTCAGCAAAGCTATTGGCCAGCTGGATGACGGTTCGCTCAGCCCCTCCACCACCCAGTGTTGGTAAAAAGAACATCACTTTATTCAACATCATAAAATCCACTTAAAGCTAAAGCTGAGATTGTTTTTGTGCTTGAAGCTCAATCGCACGCTGCACACGTTGAGTATAGTCCTGAATCCCTGCAAGCTCAGAGTCACTGGCACAAGTGGTTTTAATTTTGGCTTGAAAGTCATCAAAACTGCTCACCACTTTGGCAGGTACTCCAATTGCTACACTATTATCAGGAATATCTTTAGTCACCACTGAACCTGCGCCAATCACCACATTTGAACCAATCGTGACCCCCGGCATAATAATGCTATTGACCCCAATAAAAACATGAGAACCCACATGAATAGGGGCAAAACGTTGATAACGCTTGCCTTGCGCATCATAAACAAGGCAGGTACTACCATCATGAGTAATAAACTTAACGCCTGAGGTGACTGTAACGTGATTCCCTAGATGAATTAGAAAAGGTTCAGAACCCCAGCTCTTGATATAAATTCGACAATGCTCACCGATAGTCACACCTTTTTTACGCGCATAAGCAATACTGCCCTTGAACATAAAATAGGCTAAATCAAACACTGTGTTGAAAATTGACCGAATCAATGCCATGTATCAAAAAGACCCAAGATAAATAGATAAATGTGCAACAAAAGTACTGCAACGGGCTATTTTACTCTCAATTGTGCAACACGGATATGCTCTGTCCAACAGAGTTTTATTTTATTTTTTTCGCAGGTGTTCCCACGTAAACACCCGCCTCTGGAAGGCTTTTACTCACCAATGAACAGGCGCCCACGACCACATTATTGGCGATATTGACGCCATCAAGCACAGTTACTCGAGCACCAAACCAAATGTTTTCACCAATTTGAATCCCCTGTTTGGTAATTTGGTCTTTGACCAAAACCTCAGGATCATCAAACTTATGGTTACTGGCGATCATAATACTTTGTGTGCCAATCCGGGTGTTATCCCCAATGCTTAGACCACCACAGCCATTGAGAAAAGACTTGGAGTTGATACTGACATTCTGTCCAATTTCCACCTTGCCACCAAAACATTTGATATAACAGCTTTCACCAATAAAACTGTGATCACCAATACAAAGCGTGGCGCCCTTTTCCACAATAATCGTGACATCATCACCAATATAGACATTTTTCCCGATACTCACGACACCGCTAATATCGAGCTTGGTGCATTTACCAAAATATTTAAACTGACTTGAAAATGCCATGTTATACAGCGTTTTACGGCACTGTGCAGAGAACCAGTTGAGCAACTTCAAAGTTTTAAAAAACATCACAA